GTTCCCCGTACCATCTCCTGTTAATTCCCCTCTCCAAGTTTTCCAAAAAACCATCTGTCATTGTTGGTGTTGCTCGGGAAATTATATATATTTTGTAACACTCTTTGTTGATAATCGAATCAAGATATTTGAATTCGTGCACACTGGTTAAAGGCATTGGTTTGATCCAGTGACAGGACCCAAAGAGTGTGAGTTCAATACCCGATTAAGACTTGGAGAGGGGAATTAACAGGAGATAGTACGTGGAACTAGAATAGTCTACCCCAGTGAGAGAAATAAAGGGTTCAGTTCGACATTCCGACCACCTAAAGAAGACCGGAGCGTACAACGGCCGAAACGTTCTAATAAATATGGCGACAAAGATGAGGACAATAGTCCAAAATGGAAATAATGTACATAATACCTCATCCCAGAAATATAGACAGATAAATGTTAAGTAGCAAGGATTAAAGAAGAGACATATTCTACCTTTTATCTTACAATTATGTTAAACTTTAAGTTAAACTGATAATGATTTTTTTTTATATTTTCGTTAAACTGCGTTACATCATATATGGCTTATTTTTCTATGTGTAAGATTAATTTGGATTTGGATTTAAAATAGTTCTGTATTAATCTCCTGTTAGTATTATTAACATCTTATCTGAATGCATTATTGGTTTAGCTTTATATGGATGATATTTATTTAACAATTGCATATTAATTTACTAAATAACTCTACGCGTTTGAATTATTTATTAGTTTCTTAAAGAGGCATCTTATTCATCAACTGCAAAGAAATATTATGTAGGAAATCCCAAAAGAAAAGTTTCCATTAAGTCTGTCTCAAGGTCCAGAGAAGGATCTACAATGCAATTGGCCCTGATCTGGCATTTCGTCTGCAGTCGATCTTTCACAGACGTGCCGTCGCCTATTCTGTCTTTTTTTACAAATACTTTCACGGTAATTGCTCCGATGAGTTCGCTGGTTCCCAGACTTCATGAATTTAAGCGTTCAACTAGGCTGGCATCTCGCTCTCACCCTTTCACTATTGAAACTGTTAAATGCAGCCGTCTCTTTTACTCCAATCGCTTCATGTCTCGCACTTCTCGTCTCCCCTTTTTCTGTTTCCCTGATAGCTATAATCTCCAACTATTCAAATGTAATGTCAATCGACGTCTCCAGATGCCGTGATCTATCCACTATCCTCTTCTTCATCCTTTCCTCTATCACTCCTCTTTGCTCTCGCATCAAATCTCTGTAGCCCCTTGCGTGCTAGTGGCTTCCGCCTTGCTTGGGGGTGAAACGCTTAAAAAAAGGTTAAATTACTTCTTTAATCTTCAACTTTTATTTCTTGGAAAAGTTGACCGTCTGACAATAATACAGATTTTTAAAAAGTGTATCTGTCTTTATTTCAATGTCTGGCTGCTGTCGGTAATTAATTCCCGACCATTTGTAAGAAACTTTGAATTTTCTTCATCTTTGCTTAGTTTGAACTGAATGCAGATCATATTCGCTTGGTTGATCAAGGTAAAACCCCAAGCCTTATAACCTTTTTTTTTTTTTTACAAAAAAGACGATGTTTTGGATTTGAAACCTAATTAATTGTTCACTAGCCAGTAATTTACAATCGACTGAGACGCATTTGTATGTGACGAAAGACGACAGCAATTGTGTAGCGATTTTTTATGTATTGTCTTAATATCCTAAAATATATAGTACTGCTCTACTCTGTATTGAGCACTATTTTAACTTAAATGTACGAACGTTGGAATTGTACTATATTCGTTCTCATCATACCTGGATATTTGGTAAACAGTGACTATTATAGCTGTATAGCGAGACTCTTAGCTAATGCGAATTGAGTCACTTCCGGTCACTGGGCGTGTTTATAAAGATAAACACGCTAAAAATCCACTTTCCTCCCTGCCGATGGCTTAATGGTTAGAATCTCCGACTGACACCAGTTCAGTCGGGTTTCGACCCTAGCTGGAGGCAACCGGATGTCTAGCCACACTGATAAGCTGTGAAAGAGCGAAACAGTCTGTCTGTGGATGACGGTATATATATATATATATATATATATTACTTTTAAAAACTTTGGAAGAGTATTAAGTTTAAAGAAAATTTACGGCACATGGTGCTGTTTTTGCTATGTAGACTAGTTTACATTTGTCATTCGTGTACCTTTGTGGTTAGTGTTTCTTCAATGTTTAACGTGTGTAGTAGTGAGTTAACGGAGAACTTTTTCGTTTAACAGTGGCAGGATATTCATATCTTAAGCAGTCAGATAATAGTTTTATATACGGCAGCGCAAATTGTAATGGACGCGAGACTGCATGGCTGTATCAGATTGCGTTTCCAGGCAGGATCCGCGGCCCCGCAAATGGTAATATGTATTTTTTAATTGTATTTTAGATTGTACGTCAGCTCGTGCTGTAAAAATAATTCAAAAACGAAAGATTTCTTGGCATGTGTTTATATAGACTTTTGTCTTTGTTTTCGTGTGAGGAACCGGCCTCCATAGTTTATTAAAAGTATTTTTGATACACCGTGTCTATATGATAAAGTTCTGCATCTTAAGAAAATAAGAGCCTACCCAATTCTGTTTATCTCTATCTATAAAAGGCATGATTTTTTCATGCTTCATACGGCAGTTTTTATGTAGTTTGCGGCCATTTTGTACTGGCCAGAGTGAGAGCCTATAGCTGGCTGCCACGAATAGGCAATAAGATTCTAGTGGCCAGCGTGAGAGCCAACAGCAGACTGATACGAATGTTAACTAGCATGCTAGCATGCAAAAAAAAAATCGATAGTTGCATTCGTCACAAGTGGGAAAAATTTAAATCTGCATGGTACTTTACTCCAATTGGCTCATTCGCTTGCTTAAACTCAACGTTGATTCTGATTTCGCATAACTGGGTTGGTGTGAAGAAGTATTTGTTGTTAACATTCTTTTTTCATTCGGTTTTTCCAGTTACGAGTCCTTTTTTAAAGCTGATCGTTTTGTGTTCATTTTGTTTAGTTCTTTTTTCGTAACAGATTTAATGTTTAGTATAGAGCTTAGAAAATTCTCAGTGTGAGATAGGCAAGAATTAAGGCACGTAGCAACATCAGCACGGCAAAGGGCAAAAATATTTTTAGTCAAATGATAGCGATTGCTGTAGGAATCGTACGATTTTTGAATCAAGCAGGGCAACTGCAGGCCATGCTGCTAGTATTTAACATTACAGCTACGCTTAGAAAATCATTTGGGGACCTCGATGTAATGTAATGGTTAACAAACTTGTCTCGCAACAGGAATTATGACTGAATAGTGAGTTTGTTCCTCACTTAATGCTTCACACTTTCGACCATTTGTCACATCTAAGCCGCGCTTAGAAAATCAATTGGGGACATCGATGTAATGTAATGATTAACAAGCTTGTCTCGCAACATCAACTACGATTGAATAGTGAGTTTTGTCCTCACTTAAGTTTCCACACTTTCGACCTTGTGTCACATCAAAGCCACACTTAGAAAATCATTTAACACCTCGATTTGGTGTAATGATTAGCAAATCTGTCCCGCTAGCTCATTTGCAACTGAATAGTGAATTCGATCCTCACTGGGTACTCTATACATTTGGCCTTGTACCACATCACCATATCTCGGAACGAGTGCTTGGAGAAATTGATACACGCAAGAAGGCGAGGGATAGGCAGCGTTTGCCTACATGTCCAGCTTGTGAGAATTAGTAGAAGGACATGGAGTATGAGGGATGACAAAAAGATAAAAGGAACTAAGAACTATATAGGATTGGAAGTTGTAGAGGGCCACGATCTCTTAATATCTGAAGGGACACTACATATAGAAGTATTACTGGAATTAAAATTTCATCTATAACTATGGAAATGACGATAAATATTTGATAGTTTCATGAAATTTCTAACGGCGAAATTTAACTTTGTTTTCGTGATTTGCAAAATAAATAATTGATGATGTCGAATCGAAGAGAAAATATAAAAAAAAAAGCCAAAATAATGGGTTGACCGTATCAGTCATTATATGTGCTTCTTTGCTTTTCATTTTGTTATTTTGCTGTTCGATGCTGACTGGAAATAAACTTGATAATGTTAAGCACTTGAACGAGCATGCAGGATAATGTTGAGAGTTTGAAGAGGCCATTGGACGCAGACTAATTACATGACTATGCACATATACGTTGAAAAATGCATGGGCAAATTTAAGTATTTCGAAAGTTAAATCAAGAGACATGAAACGTCAGATTAGAAATTGAAAAAAAAACAAAAAACTTTCAAAAATAACATCCGAAAATATTTTCGTTCATTTTGACGATCTTCAAAACAACAACCACACTATGAGGTCGGAGACATGGTTGGTCAAAAGATAATTTTATTTGACAAGGAGATTTCTTTTAAAAAACAAATCTGCATTGGTTAATTGATCTGGGTTTTTTCGGGTTTATCGACCTTTTCCAGGTTATTTAAAGCCAGGAAAGATTTCTTTTACATCGTAAGAATTTTTTTAGAGATAATAAGGACTTACTGATACAGGTCCTATTAATTCCCCATATTCCCTTACGATCACAGAAGTTAAGCAACGACGAGCCTGTTCAGTAACAAGATGGGTCATCAATTGGCAATACCAGGTGCTGTAAGCTTGATGTGCAGATGGTGCAATGCATAATAGCTTTGAATTGTAAATCGGAGAGCCGAGTTCCAATACCCGTTGGCTTTTTATATTCACTTACGCGCAGGTACCCTAAGGAAAGGTTTTGAATCCACCTATTCTCTCTGCTTCTATTAATTAGTAAGTCTTGTATCGTTAAATCATTATTTTATATATATATATATATATATATATATATATATATATATATATAATCTTAGAATCTAAATAAATACTTTCTGGCTTTAAACCTGCAAAAACGAAGCCGTAAAAAATGAATAAACCAATGTTGCTTAACTTCGGTGATGCATGATTATCAGTGTTTCAAGACGAAATGGCCGTTAGCCATCACAGCATCTGGTATTCCCAGGCGGTCACCCATGTAAGTACTGACCATGCTCAATGTTGCTTAAAATCGTTGATCGACGGATAACTGGTGTTTCAATGTGATATGACCGTTATCCATTACACTACCAGCACAGCGAACATTACAGCACCTGATATTTGAAAGCGATCACCCCTCTGGGTACAGACCAGGCTCAATGTTGCTAAACATCGTTGATCGTAGGATAATCGATGTTTCAGCATGATATGACAGTTATCTTTTACACCACCTGAACAGCGAAGATTACAGCACCTGATATTCGAAAGCAATCACCCCTCTACGTATTGATCAAGTTCGACTTTGCTTAACTTTGGTGAAAGCACGAGGATTGTTGTCCCATCAAGATATGGACGTAAGCCTTCCAAATCTTGAAACATTCCCAGTCTATTCGTTTATTTAGAAGATCGAATAATGATATAAAAACCCAGCTTATTGGACTATACAAAGAAAATAAAAGGTGAAAAGAAAACAAAAGAAAAAAATAACTAATTTTGTTAAGATGTTAAATATCGTTTTTATTAAATCACTTAAATTTAAATAATGGCATTAATCGTAATTGCAATATTGAAAAAGTTGGATATTGCGAGTCTACGTGACAAAAAAAAATAGATTATATATTAATTACTTTCAATAAGGAGATATAAATACCCAGAAAGACCAGTAATGTAACAAAGTCGAAGAAGGAATAGTTGTCAGCAAAAGAGACAATTCAAGGATTTGGACGACGCGGAAGGAGGAAGTCTTGCGAGGTGATCATCTTTCTCATCAGGATCTGATCCGATTCTTTGAGCATCAGCTCAATATGAAGATTACATCTGATAGAAAACGATTGCATTCGACAGTCTTTAGCGAAAGGTGGGTAAAAGAGGCGAGCTTGGTTCGTGTGACCGGGGCTAGCCTTGATTTTCTTGTCTAGGTCAACCTATGGCACATCGGGGTGGTTTCCTGTGGAACCCTCCCCTTGGTTAGGTTAGAAAAGCTTCAGTGTACCTAGTTAATGTGAGTAAGTGTTGTTCCTGGCCTGTATCCCAGCAGCTCTTTGGTTATGATCCAAGTCGAGATTCCCAACCTCCCCAGTTTGTTTTGGTCCCCTTTCATCTCGGCTAGGTCAGCTTTATACTTCCCCATTCCCGCATAATATTTTATCCTTTTCCCACTTCCTTAGCGAGAGCGCCTCTTGATTCTATCCTCTGGGCAGAATACAGCGGCCTTCTGTTTTGAGGGTTGGACGGTCCCTACCAACATCAATTATGTTTAGTTTGCATTTTGTGTTGATTTTAGTTTATTATTGGGTTCATCTCCCCTCCCCTCTCATTTTATCATTATTAGAATTTTATGTATATTATCTATCTTCATCCAATTTTTATGGCGTGGGGCGCGTTTTTGTAGGTTCCCCTGGAGAGGATGTGGTATTATGGTGGATGGAGGATTGAACGGTGATGGATGAGTTCTTGTGGTGAATGAGTAAATTGTAATGTATGAATGGGTCGTGAATCTGATTAGCTAGGTATAAGATAGTTAGTGTTGACCAGACTCTACCCCTCCCCTTTTCGGCCTTGTGTCACAATTTGTACTTCTTGTACGAATAAATATAAAGAGACAATTCAAGGCGTGAGCGATGCTCTGAGGACGTTAAAATTAGGCAGATAGAGGAGTTCAACTATTTGGGTCGTGTAGTGACTGGTAAGGAAAATGACAGAAATTAGATTGTTCATAGAAATAATGAGAACTGTCTTCCAAAAACTGAACAAATAATTGAGAGAGAGAGAGAGAGAGAGAGAGAGAGAGAGAGAGAGAGAATTTAATTAAAAACAAAGAAATGTTATCTAAAATACTATGCAATATCTGATCCCATGTATTGTATTAAAGTTGGATTTTACTTGTTTTGTTTATGCACACACACACACAGACACAATATATATATATATATATATATATATATATAGATAAACCTAGTGAGCCAGACAAACCTACCCAGGTTTCATCTAAGCGGATCGTCAGGGAAAGCTGGCTAAAAAGGCAAAAGAGAAACAGCATATTTATAGGCGATAATCAAAATCATACCACGTGACCAAAGAAAAAGAAAAACAAGAAAAAACACAAGAACGCCGGGTGGGGGTAAAGATTTATTCAAACGACTAAAAGGGGAGGGGATATTAACACGAACAATAAAGGTGTAATGACAATACAAACGGGGAGATTAGACCTAATTCAATAACCAAGATTTTCTATGCCTACATATGTTAAGAATCTCGATTTTGGACTTTAATAGATCGTTAGGTTGATTATATAAAGCTATGGCTAATTTCTCCTCTGTACATCGCTTACAAAATTTTTGGCCTGCTTTATATTTGGGGCATTTTTTTAATATTTCCCATTTAAGGATGGGGTCTTTATTGTTTTCTTGTCTAGTTTTCCATACATAGGTGGATAGCATGGTACTATGTTTAGTTTTTTCGTTTTTAAAACTACTCGTGTGATTATATCTTTTTTTAAAAAATATCCTGAGTAGCAACTATGTATACTTTTCCTTCGAGATTGATTTGATTATTGGCAAATCAAAAAAGTCGAAGGTTTTTCGAAACGAGTATAGTTACCTATATATATATAGAAAGGGTGTAACAGCAAAATTGTTCAAATCGTGTAACAGCATAATTATCCATCCCACCAAATGTTTAATATCTAAAAACCACTGAACTAATGGAGATTCTTTTTTTCTCCAGGTTTTCAGATAAACGTTTACCTATCTAGATACCATTTATTGTAAGAATCACTGAAAAACCGTTATTCAGCTAAGAAGAGAACAGATTAAAATTAAAGTCTTCCCAACTGAGCAATGGTGAGAGGAAAAATCAGTAATGGTACATTCATTCATACTCTGGTTTTCATCTTTGACGCCCATTCAAGAACCATCAAGAGAACGGTGAATAAGTTTAAAAAAGAGGCAACAGTAGACAGGAAAACTGAATCAGGAGGTCACAACAGAAAGAGGGACCTTCATTTCAAATTAGAGCTAAAGAAATCAATTAGAAAAGATCCAACTAAACTCATAAGAATTTTGTCACGTAAGAGATGATTTTCACTTATGACAGTCCAAAGAGCAGTAAAAATACTTGAAAATGAAATCGCACGTGAAACATGTGAAGTATTTTTCCTCAGTTATCCCAGGACAGAGAGCTTGAAAGTTAGAGAGGGCGAAGATCATCTTGAATAAGTTGGAAAATGATCCCCGAATTATATATATATATATATATATATATATATATATATATATATATTATTTCGATCCTTCATGAGCATCCGATCCTTAGCTATGATTAATTAATAATGAACATTTAATTTTCGTTTATGATCGTTTTAATCCCGATGCTTCTGTTAAGCTTAGGCAGCAATTATGCATTCTAACTGCTAAAAAGTAGAGTGCAATCGTGTTATAAAAAAAACGCACAACCTTAAAATTTAAATTCAAACTCAGCGTTGCGACCGCACGTTCCAAAACAATAACACATTTCTCATAGCATTTTTTCGGATTTCATCTCTATTTTCGTTGTCCTCTTATTGCCGAGAAGTAAAAACAAGAACAAAATCTATTTCCATACCTGAGGATGTCTGTAGGAACAGACGAAAGCTTGTAGAAATTAAAAGACCTTATGTAACTGGAATTTATGAACAGGGATCATATCATTCATATACAGGTTCGGGGTTGATGTATCTTATTTATATTGTTTGAGAAGATGTATTCTTGCTATTTAAATCATTAACCTCGATATTTGCTTTTTGTGTGAATGATTCATGAATTTATAAATTATAATTTGCACCTTTAATTGAAATATATATATATATATATATATATATATATATATATATATATATATGTGTGTGTGTGTGTGTGTGTGTAGAAATATATTTATATATGTAGAAATATAGTTTAAGTTGTGCTATATTTATGGGATAAATTGCTCAATATCAGCGATAGAGCGTATGTAAATATAAAAGTGAATATTGAAGTCAATACTCAAAGGCAACAGGCTGTTCCATGCCAGATGCAATCGTCAGGCCATGTCTGTTGAGTGTTTTCTCGGCTATTTATATATACGGGTCATTGGTACATTGTCGGTAGTCCATTGTGACAATTATTTTAGCGGATGTAGTTTGCTCATTTATTTATTTATTTGGGTTTATTTGACTTTTATTTTTTAATTATTTTTATTTTTGACTTTATATATTTATTAATTCTTTTCGCTTTTCGATGTTTTATTAACGTAGTAAAAAATGAGATTAGTTCAGATCGTTTATTTAATAATTTGTTTAGGTCTGGGAAGGTAATTGATATTTTCTGGAAAGAGATATATTTGATCGAAGTAGCTAAGTGGTTTTTGCTACTGTAACCAAGTAGTACACGGTAGCAGTAATCGACCGGTATTCGTCGTAGTCGCAGGTAATAGGTGTAGACCAATAGGATAGCCAATGGCGTAGTCCAATGGGTGTCGTCATAGACTTAAACACTGTCGTACCTACACGTCGTACCTATCTATCTATCTCAAATCTCTTCATTATCTATCTATCTATCTATGTATGTCAAATCTCTTCATTATCTATCTATCTATCTATCTATCTCAAATCTCTTCATTATCTATCTATCTATCTATCTATCTATCTATCTATCTATCTCAAATCTCTTCATTATCTATCTATCTCAAATCTCTTCATTATCTATCTATCTATCTATATATCTATCTCAAATCTCTTCATTATCTATCTATCTATCTATCTATCTATCTATCTCAAATCTCTTCATTATCTATCTATCTATCTCAAATCTCTTCATTATCTATCTATCTCAAATCTCTTCATTATCTATCTATCTATCTATATATCTATCTCAAATCTCTTCATTATCTATCTATCTATCTATCTATCTATCTATCTCAAATCTCTTCATTATCTATCTATCTATCTATCTCAAATCTCTTCATTATCTATCTATCTATCTCAAATCTCTTCATTATCTATCTATCTATCTCAAATCTCTTCATTATCTATCTATCTATCTATCTATCTATCTATCTATCTATCTCAAATCTCTTCATTATCTATCTATCTATCTATCTATCTCAAATCTCTTCATTATCTATCTATCTATCTCAAATCTCTTCATTATCTATCTATCTATCTCAAATCTCTTCATTATCTATCTATCTATCTAATTAAATAGACGGTTTGTTGATATGAACGTATATAATTGTGTTTTCACTATCTGTCGAAAGAGAGAGTGAGATAGACAATGATTTGGGGTGAGAAACAGAGAGGGAGAGAGAGGGGGTGAGAGAGAAATAAAGATAGGCAGCTAGATTTTATTAGATCTGTACCTCGCTAATTATATATTAGCCCTTCTGCTGTTGAGAAAGTTTGGTTATCTACTCTGCAATTTATCCAATCACTTGAGGGTTGGGTTTTTGCTATATGTTTAACTTTTTGCTTATTTTCAAGAAAGGAATGCGTACAATCTGAATCGAGAAACGTCTGTCTCAGATCGTCATGACCGTGTCTCCTCTCGACAAAATCAATAGCGATGCGAACGCATACGTTAGGCTCTGTGCGCTGTCCATCGTTTCGAAAGACAGAACGGATAATTGCACTGGACGCTTAGAAATCGTAGCAATCTTACTTATGCGAGCGATGCTTTTCCGTAAACAACATTCTCAACAAACAATAGTGGTACACTCTATTTATTTGTCTTGCTACGAGGGCAAATATGAACCAAGGACAGGTTTAATACGATAACCCATAAACGCACGTGGGGCGAAATGAAAAAAAAAATGCCTGATAGGATTTTGCCGTTGACGTCAGTGATTACTACTTATCACACACTCTAAATTTAATATTAATATTAATAATAATATTCTTGACCCAGTTACGGAGATAGGACTTGTAACATTTTTTATGGGACTACCCATTACACAAAGACAACAATGAAAGCTAATCGCCCAGACATGGTGATCAGAGACCGCAAAACCGAAAAAAAGTACCTCCTTATTGACGTGATAGTCCCTGTAGATTGCAGGTCAGTGTGTTAATGACTCTTTTCAGTAGTTTGTAACACATCTATTTATCGTCTCTCTGTTACGTCTCTGTCTTTGGGCAGAGTGCGCTCAGGGGCGACTCTGTCAAATGACAGGGTCACAACTGAAGAAAATTATACTGAGATGTGCCCGATCTTGGGAGAACAGCTGCCCGAAGCCGCGCCCGCTCATTGCACCAGAGAGAGGGATCGTTGCTCGCATCGAGGCCAGCGCAACCGAGAGTTGTGGGGGCTGCGGGCAATTTTTGTTCCTAGACCAGGTATACGCGCTCGGGTCCCCACATTAAAAAATGAGTAAATAATAATGGAATTATTCGTTTCGTTTCAATTAATTTGCACAAGAGTGTATTTATCTTCTTGTCGAAACTTGAATAAAGCATGGAATAATAATAATACAACACAAAATGTACTTAAACAAAATTTGAAAAAAGAAAGGGTAGTATTTACAGAGAGTTTTGGTATATTCTTGGGAAGACCGTTCCTGTAAATTTGATTCGGACGGAGTTTTGCATTTCTTCCTCCCCTCGTCTTCCCGGTACCAACCATATTTATATGGTCGGTACTTCTTAGGTGGATCGTTTCTGGTGTTTTCGGGATGTTTTCTTTTTTTTTTGGGGTTTCTCTTTCCCAAATGGTTCTTTCTGCTGCTTCCGTTTCCCAGTTGTAGATCCTTACATTAAGATTAAGCTGCCTCGTTTAAGACGAGGCAAATGACCTGTGGTTAATTTTACGTAAGAAAGAGATGCTTAGTTTAATTTTAGTGAATGCAAACTGCTCCCTTGAGGGGTTTGTAACACATCTATTTATTATCTCTCAGTTGCGTCTCTGTCTTTGGGCAGAATGCACTTAGGAGTAACTCCATCAAAGGACTGAGTCGCAACTGAAAAAAATTATACTGCGAGGTTCCTAGCCCTGGGGAACACCTCCCTGCACCCTCTCATTGTACCAGAGAGAGGGATCGAGGCCATCGCAACCGAGAGTTGCGGTGGCTGTGGGCAATTTTTCTTCCTTGCCCGGGTATACACGCTCGGGTCTCCACCTAAAAAAAAAAAGAACTCGTTTTAGTGGGGAGAAAGAGTAAATACCTCGTCCCTGCAGATTGAAATATATTTTTGAAAATCTTCAAAACACTATCAAAATACAAGGACGTTGAATCGAAATCTCAAAAATAGGGCACGCAAGGATATCAGCAAATCCACTTGTAGTTGGATCCCTCGGATTTATTGGAAAATATTCTAGTAGACATATTGGTAGCCAGTGCCTTAAAAAAACCCAGAAAATATTGCGCTCACAAGTACATCCCATACCTATTTGTGGTCTCAGTGCTTTTTTATTTCACCAAAAAATGCTCAGTGGAAAATATCATTGTTGTGGGGCTCTCCCCTTTTTACACAAGATGGACTCGTCCAAAGTATGCTTATACTGACAGAGAGAATACCTGCGGTTGAGATAAGTCGCGATACAATCTCGACGTCTGTCGAACTCCCTGCTTTGCCAGAGAGGAACCCGGACGAAGCTTTGCCGAAGGGCAAGGTTTCGTCCGGGGAGGTAGACAGGCCTTGAACCCGTCTAGGCGGGTTCAAACGGGATATTTTTGCCCGAGCCTATGGGCTCGGAGAAACCCACTTTAAACTCGGCCTTGTGCCACATATATTCCTCGTGGGTCGGATATTCAATACCAAGATACGTTGAGATATGTTGAGACAGGTTGAGAGATACGGAGACTGACACAGGATGTTCTCAGAGAGTTATACAAGAGTCCAGAGAGAGAGAGAGAGAGATGATTACGGCTTTACTTACAGAGACTTGTACATGTACATTCTACTAACCCGCATTCCTGGACTACTAATCTTCACTTCAAGTCTGTATTCTCACGTTTAATACACTTATTTTTCTATCTCATTTACTGGCATTGTTTATTTATTTGGGCAGGATTCCATTCACGCAATCCACAACAGTCATGATGCCATTTCTGAACTTAGGTCTCTGGTTGGTACCCGGAAAGATATGTGCAACACCAGAAATCAAAGGAAATAAAACAATAATAAAATAAAAAACCCGGCATGACAGAGTGGTCCAATATCTGCACTGGAAAATTTTCAACTTCTACGGGAAGGAATGAACAGCACCCAGATCCATTTACGGTGATAGGCCATGTAAAATTTTTATGGTACTACACAATGCACGCAGAATAAAATAAGCTAATCACCCAGACATCGTTATTAGAGATCGCAAACAAAAAAATTGCCTCCTTATTGATACGGCAGTCTCTGCAGGCTGCAATGTATCTTTGATGATCTTCAAAAAGCTATCAAAAAAACAGGTACCTTGAAATCGAAATCTCAAAAATGTGGCACATGAGAACATCAACAATCCCTGTTGTAGTTGGAGCCCTCGGATTGATTGGAAAAGATTCCAGTAGATTCATTGAAGGGAATCCTGGGAGCACACGCCTTAAAGAAATGAAAAAAAAATGTTCTTACGAGTACAGACCACACCTTACGAAGGGCTTTATCTATTTAAAATATGTGCGTGGAAAATGTTATTTCTGACATTGCGTCTCTGGGCGGGACCCGGAAAAATGCGCAGGCAACAAAAATCAAAGGAAACAAAAAATCAAAATAAAATAATAATAATAAGAAGAAGAAGAAGAAGAAGAAGAAGAAGAAATGAAGAAGAACATGAATCCAACAAATTCAAATGGGAATTTCAAGTGGATGAGGAATAATACAACTATTGCAGCAGCGAAGAACCTAAAAAAGAAAGAAAATGCAATGTACCAAATGAAAAAAACGTGGACACGTAAACATCTTCACGGTCAATATTCTGTCCGTACCAAAAAGCTGATGTAGACAAGCCCCCGTACCCATCAGTGGCTATATAGTTCAGCGTTAAAAGCTAAAAATTTAGGTTTCATTCTTGCCGCACAGGACCAATACTTGCTAACTCGAAATTACCAAGCACATATACTGAAAAACTATGTGAGCCTGAAATGCAGATTCTTTGATAAATATCCAGAAACAGTTGAGAAATATCTTGAAATACTAAAGAGTAAATTTATTCAAACTAATCGGGATTGGCTTCAATCACGGACTCCAGACGACTTCGGAGTCTCCTTCGACTATTCGGGACGGTCTCTTGTTTAATTTGTGAATGCCGCCATAATCTTTTTTTTTTCAGTTCATGTTAGGTGTTAAAAGGAGTTTTGTTGGTTTCTGGCTCAACTATGCCCCATAAATAATAATCAAAATGGTGCCTGTTAGGGAATTATGTGGCCAGATGCAAGGGGTGAGTTGATCGTATAAATTGTCCAACATTCACAATTGGGTTCTACTGCTTGTGTGGCATGGTGTAGATTCCTGCGACCAGATATAGGGTCTTCCAGTAGCCACCCTCTTGGCCCAGGTTAGCAATATCTCCTTATGGCACTTGATGTAGACTACTGCTTTAATCTGAGGCCCATATGGAAGATGAATTGAGGCATAACGTCGCCATAACAAGTGATCACTCCAAAGACCTTCGTAATAACTAACTGTTTCCGAATCCTCTGCATTGTCATCATATTGATACCCAAGCACACTGAAATGTTTTTAATGGAGCTTCTGGTGCGAATGCCAAGAAGTACAGGATGTTGTTTCCATATTTCTGGCGGAGTGAATTGCGGCATGTTCTTTTTTCAAGGACTCCACAACTGACCATCCCATAATTTGCCGAAATTAAAATATAAAATTGCAACAATTTATCCATCGAAGCCTGGATATATATTTTTTTATCGTCAAATTTGCTATTCTTTGTGTTTTTTTTTTAAATACGGCAGTAGCAGCAAAAGTCTCCGCATTAGTCAGTGTTATTTGTTATCTCAATTTGGTACATCATAAAATCAGTTTACGAACCAGTAACAAACTCTTACCAAACAATTTGCACATGCTTTGGAATATTTACTATATACGTGGGCGGTGGAAAATTATCAATGTAAAATTGTACGATGACGCAAAGATTGAGGCACGCTGGTCTAGAAAAACTGATATTGATTCTGTTTACTGATTTTTTTACTCCATATTTTTAATTAAAAGGAATTAAATTTTTCCTTGAATACTGAATAAGCTTCATATGGGTATACACGTGGTATAATT